ACTGACAGAGAAACAATGATCTGAATGATTGCTGAATTACCTCAGAAACCATGAAGGTCAGAAGGGGGTGGTGGCACAACATTTTTAAGGTTGCTGAAAAAAAAGAACTATTGAGCCAGAATTTTATATCCCATGAAATAACCTCCAGTAATGAAGATGAAATAGAGACATTCTCAGAAGAAGGAAAAGTAAGAGAATTCAGGGCCAGCCAACGTGCTCTAAGAGAATTGCTAAAGGAAGTTTTTCAGAGGGGAGGGAAATTACACCAAAAGCACACCTGGAACATCAGGAATGAAAGAAGAGCAACAGAAATGACAAACATCTCGGTAAATATAATAGCCTATTTTTTTTTCTCTTAAGATATGCTTGATGTTTGAAGGCAAAAAACAAAAACAAACAAAAAAAACCTTAACAGTGTCTGCTAGGATTTTCTGTGTAGGTGTAACATATAAGCCAACTATCAAATAAAGGGGGAGGGTATAGGGACTGAGATGGCAGTAAGGTTTTTATAGTCCATCAAAGTAGTAAACTGTTAATTTCAAATAGACTACAAAGTTCATTGTGTATATTGTAATCCTGAGGACAACCACTAAAAACTTTATACAAAGAGATATAGTCAAAACACAGTAATTAAATGAAACAGTAAACAATCTTCAAATAATCAAAAAGAAGATGGGAAAGAAGACAGAAGAATGAAAAAGGGGGGAAAAATAGAAAATAAAATGGTAGACCTAAATCCAAACATTATCAGTAATTGCATTAAATGCAACTGTTTAAAACACACCAATAAAAAGATCAGAGGTTGTCAGAATGATTAAAAAGACATGGGCCAATTATATTCTGTCTGTGAGAAACTCACTTCAAATATAGTGATATAGACAGGTTCAAAGTAAAAGGATGGAAAAAGACACTGTGCAAACATTCATATCAGACAGACTACACTCAAAGCAAGGAACATTACAGGGGATAAAGGCGTATATTACACAATGATAAAAGGGCCAATTCACCAAGAAAACATTACAGTCCTAAATGTGTATTATGTAACAACAATGACCTCAAAATACAGGAAGCAAAAACTGACAGAACTGAAAGGAGAAACACACAAGTCCACAATCATAGTGGGGGACTTCAACACTCTTCTCATAAACCTCTGTAGAACTCACAGAAAGAAAATCAACAAGGATATAGAAGGAATGAAGAGCACCATCAACCAACTGGATCGAACCAGCATTTAGAGCACACTCTATCCAACAGTAACCAAGTATACAGTTTTTTCCAGTGCACATGGACCGTTTATGAAGATAGACCATGTCCTGGGTCATAAAACAAACCTTAACAAATATAAAAGAGTTCAAAAAAAGACAGTGTATGCTCTCTGCCCATAATGGAGTTAAAGGAGATATCACTGACAGAAAGATATGAGGAAAATTCTAAACCTTTGCAAACTAAACACTTCTAAGAAATCCACGAATCAAAGAGGAAATCTCAAGGGATATGAGAAAATACTTTGAACTGAATGAATGAAACCACAAATAGAGATTTTGTGTGATATAGTTAAAGTCATTTCTAGAGTAAAATTTAAAGTATTAAATACTTATAGAAGAAGAAAGATCTCAAGTAAATAATCCAAGTTTCCACCTTAAGAAACTTAAAAAAGAAGAGTGATAGAGGAAGAAATAAAACTGTCCCTATTTGCAGATGACAGGATTGTCTACATATAAGATTTCAAGAAATCTACCCAAAAGACTCCTAAAATTAATAAGTGAGCTTAGCAAAATTGCAAGGTACATGATTAACACACAAAAATCAATCATATTTCTATTTCGAGTACTAGCATTGTATGACTAGAAACTAAAATTCTAAAACTACTGTTTACAATACCTCCATATTTTACAAATAAAAACTACTGTTTACAATACCTCCATATTTTACAAATAAAAACCTGAGTCAATATACAGCAAATGGAATCCAATCATGTTTTAAAGGAATTATGTAATTACTGAGTTTAATAACTATATAAAAATATATAGTACTTTATATAAAAATATATAATATGTCATAGCCAAATTAGGTTTATGCCAGGAACAGACGGAGGGTTTTACATTGAGAAATGAATAATGATGACTTGTCCTATTAATAGATTAAAGGAGAAAACATGCTCATTTCAGTAGATGCAGAACATTCAATATCTATCATGATAAAAACTCTCGGCAAACTTGGAAAAGAGGAAACCTCTAAATTAAAAAACAATCATTGTCTACACATGATATAATTGTGTATGGAAAGTATGGAAATATCTATAAGTAAGTTATTAGAAAGTTTTATTTATATTCTGGATATAAGTCCTTTGCTAAATAGGTGATTCACAAGTACTTTTTCCAACTTGTGGTTTGTCTTTTCATCCTCTTAACACTGTCTTTCCCAGAGGAAAAGGATTTCATTTTGATGAGGTCCAATTTAGCTATGTTTCATGGATCATGCTTTTAGCGTCATATCAAAGAAATCTTTGCTTAACCCCAGATTACAAAGATTTTCTCCATGTTTTCTTCTAAAGTTTTGTAGTTTTACATTTTACATTTAGAGCTATGATTCATATTGAGTGAAGATATTTGCCACATGTACAAGTGATAATGGGCTCAACATCCATAATATCTAAAGATCTGTTACAATTTGTTAAAATACAAATTCAATATATAGAGATGAATTAAATTTCTATAGACTAAGCATAAGAAGAGGAAATGAGTTTTTCAAAAACTACTATATACACACACATAATTCTAAAATGTCAAGTACCTAGGAATACATCTAACAAAAATTGTGTGAGACTGCTACAGAGTAAAGTATAGAACTTTAAGAGAAATTAAAGAAGACTCCTCCAAATGGAGAGATAAACCATGTCCATTAATTTTAAAAATTGATATTTTAAATCAATGAAATTCCTGAAATTGGTGTATAAATTCAGTGCAATCACAACCAAAATCCTAACAGATTTTTTGTGAATCTAGACAAACTAATTCTAAACTGCACAGGAGATGATAAAGCTATAGTAACACAGACTGTGGTATTGGCACAGCTCAGACAAATAGACAGTGGAATAAGAGAGCCCATGAACACACCCACTGGTGTATGGACGTGTGATTTACAACAAAGGTGGCACTGCAGAGAAGCGGGAAAATTGGGCTGGGATGATTATATATCCATATGGGAAATTCGTGACCTCAGATTAGAGAAAGATTTCTTCACGTATCAATGGGCAGTAACCAAAAAGGAAAAGACAAATCTGACTAATTAAAATTAACATACATCACTAAGAATGAAAAGGCAAGCCACAGAGTGGGAGAAGATATTTTCCACATGTGTAACTGATGAAGGGCTCACATTCAATATACATTAGAATTCCAACAAGTCAACAGGAGAGGACAGTCAACCCAAGAAAAAAGCAGCAAAGATTTCACAAAAGAGGAAATTCAAATCATCAATAACATGAAAAGGTGCTTAACTAATTATCAATCAAGAGAATGCAAATTAAAACCACACTGAGATACTACTTCACATCCAATTGGCTATGATTAAGAAGCTAGAAAATGCCAAGTATTGGCAAGCATGTAGAGCAACAGGACTTCCTGTACACTGCTGATGGCAATGGGAATTGGCACAATCACTTATCTAGCAATGAAGACAGCAATTCCACTCCTAGGTATGTGCCCTGGATAAACTTGAGTACACGTGCACCAAGATACATTCACAAGAGCAGCATTGTTTGACACTGCCCAAACTGGAAACAACCCAGATGTCCATCAACAGGAGACTAGATAAATAAAATGATGGATTCCTGTGACACAACACTATACAGAAGAGGAATGGAAAGAACTACAACTACATACAACAACATGGATAAATTGTAAAAGCAAAATTTTGTGTGAAAGAAGCCAGGCACAAAATAATTCATACTGTACAGTTCTCTTATGTAAAATTCAAAAATAGGCCAATCTAATCCCTGTATTAGAAATGCCTACTTAGATGGTAAAACTATATTAAAAAGCCAGGGCGGGCATGGGATTATACTCAGGAAGGGGCCACAGAGGAGACTTTGGAGGTGTTGGCAATATTCCGGATATTTACAATCATTCATTAAGCTATACAGTTCTGTATGGTCACTTTTTATGTGTGTTATATTCATAATAAAAAAGGTTTAAAATGTTTCTTAGAAGGCTGAATGAGCATTCTAACCTACATGTGATATATTTACTTTTGTTCAAACATGTAACACTGCCCTTTTGGAAGTAAATGTGGAACATTTTATGTCATCTTTTAAATGGTACAAAATAAGCAACTGTACATGGGAGAAGGGGAGCTCTTTCTCATCACAGAGAGTGGTAAAATGGAGAGGACAGACTTGGTAGGGAATATTTATAACATACTTGCAACAAAGCTCAAACATTCTAAGACAGATGGAGATATAGGAAGACACAGAGACTTGTCATGATTCTGTGGCCTGAATGAAATAATGCACTATGACCGTCAATGTTTCTGAGTCATACTGTCTTGGTTTTGTCCTCACAGAGCTCTCCCTCAGGAGCAATGCTTTCTCTGATAACCATTGAGCATGGAAGAGGCTAGGTTATTAAACAACTGTCATCAAAGATAAGCTCATGAAAAGACGCTCACCATCATTAGCCAACAGAGAAATGCAAGTCAAAACCACAATGAAATGCTACTTGCTCCCACTAGGATGACTATATTTGGAAAGACAATAAGAAGTGTTGGTGAGGATGCGGAGAAACTGGAACCCTCATACACTGCAGGTGGGAATGTAAAAGGACGCTGCTGCTTTGGAAAACAGTCTGGCAGTTCCTCAAATGGTTAAACAGAGTTACCATTTGATCCAACAATTCTAGTCCTAGGTATATACCCAAGAGAAACGAAAACATATGTGAACACAAAAACTTGTAAACAAATGTTCATAGAGCACTATTCATAAGCACCAAGAAATGGAAATAACTCAAATGTCCACAAGCTAACTGATAAATGGATAAATAAAATGTGGTATATCCACACAATGGAATATTATTCGGACATAAAACAAGAATGGAGTACTGACACATCCTGTGAGATGGATGAACCTTGAAGTATTACACTAAGTGAAGGAAGCCAGACAAAAGGACACATATAATATGATTACATTTATATGAAATGTCTAGAATAGGCCGATCCAGAGAGATGGAGAGTAGATGAGTGGCTGTGTAGGGCTGGGAAGATGAGGGGGTTAGAGGGTGACAGCTAAGGGGTACAAGGTTTCTTTTTGGTGTAAAGAAAATGTTCTAAAGTTGATTTGATAATGATTGCACAACTCTATTCTAAGAGTTATTGAACTGTACACTTTAAATGGGTGAATTATAACGTATGTGAATTATATCTCAATAAAGCTTATATAAATGTCATCAGTCCATCTTGCTGGTCATCTTTGATGACAGTCCATTAACAACCCAACTTGGACAAAACACCCTAGTTTTTTAACACACAACTTCACACCTCAACAGAAAACATGTATAGATAAGACAGAAAAATATAAGAAACTCTTCTTTGGATGTTGGTGTGTTGATGAAAGGAGGCTTCACTGACGCCTGACACAGTTACACTGATGCGGCATCCTGGGGCAGTGCATCCGGGAAGATGTGGGATGGGTAAATGTTACTGTTTGTGTGTGTAAAGTGTTTGAAACATAATTTTGAAAGGGAAGGTGGGGAAAGAGAACTAGAATGAAATCTCTAGGCATATTCTCAGGTGGATCAGTTCTAGGAAAAAAACGTGAGGATCTGGAAACTGATTCCCTTAAAGCCATGCACGTCTGAACTTCCTGTGGAAGGCCTTCAGGCACCCAGTTTGCAGATCTGAGCTGTAGTTCAAAAGCCTCGTCTTTCAAGACCATAATCTCTGCTATGAATTGACAAAGCTTCCCTAGCAGCAAATGCCAAGAATTTGACTCTGATTCCTACACTGAGCTGTGCCGGTCTCCTCCAGAGATGAGCCCTGAATGCTTCCGCCTCACGGTCTAATTTTCATGTGGGAAGGGCTCAGGAAGGAAGAAGGGAGGCCCAAGTTGGTTAATATATCAGATTATAATCCCTCTGTGCTAACGATCTCCTTCTACCAAGCGCCCGAGTGATTCTGCTGAGGGGGGAGTTGTCAATACTGCCCAGTACTGCAAGGAAAAGAAGAATGTGGAGCAAAGGACAAAGAGGACAGTGTCGTCAGGAGACACTTGGGGGGCATGCTGGGAACAGAAGCCAGGCTGAGTGGGTTACAGACTGATCTGGAACCAGAGAGCACAGACAACATTCAGGAAGCTCAACTGAGGAAAGAGATGGGCAGACAGCAAGAGACAGACCTCAGAGCTGAGGAGGGTTTGCTTGGGGATAGAGCAAACTTGAGAATATGTGTGGGATGAAGAGAAGAATCGGGAAGGGGATGTGGAGAGAGAGGGAACAGAGGAGGCTGAGAAGTTGTGAGGGGACAGAGTGAAGATACAGGGGAGGCACGAGCTTTGAATCGTGGAAGGACGCCTCTTCCTCCGAGGTGCTCAACAGCAGGAGCTCTGGGGAGAGTTTTGGTGGACACGGGACTGTTTGTGGAGCTCAGATCATCTGACTCTATTTCTCTCGAGCTCTGGTGCCAGAATGAGAGGTAGGTGGCCGAGAAAGAAGACAGGGGAAGAGCGGGGCCCCAGGACCCCAGAGATGGCTGGAGAATCAGCTGTGGGGAGTGGGCCTCTGGAGTCAGTGAGAGGGGACTCAGCGGTCAGCTAAGCCTGGTGGGGTGCGGAAGGGGCAGCTGGGCTTAGCTGCATGGATCTGTAAGACCCTGCTCTTCCAGCTGGCAGATGGCAGAGAGGTGAGCAGAGGAGGGGGCTGCCCAGGGTTGGAGAAGTGAGAAATGTGGGAAAGTTCCAGGGTAGAGAGGGTCAGCTGTGAAGTCCAAGGTCCTGGCCTGGAAGGAGGAAAGGCAGGCCTGGGCAGAGGGTAGGCTTTGAAGAGAGAGGCCAGCCAAGAGAGAGGTCAAGAAGACGATTCTGAGCAGGTGGAGGAGGGCGGAGTGGGAAAAGGAAGGAGATGGAGCAGATCTGAACCATCAGGATACATAAAGTATTCAGCATTGTCTGATAAGAGCCACTAGCCTCCTGGGGCCTTGTGCCTGTGGCTAGTCCAAACTGAGCTGTGCTCTAAGTGTATAATACACACTGGATTCTGAAGACTTAGCATGCAAAAAAGAATGTTAAATATAGCATTAATAAATGTTTACATTCAATACTCATTTAAATGATAATATTTAGAAAATATTGGATTAAATACAATATATTATTAAAATTAATTTTACCTGCTTCCTTACACCTTTTTAACATGACTACTAGATATATTTAAATTACTCACGTGGTTTGCATAATATTCTCTTTGCAGAGCACTGGCACAGATACTCCCTCCCAGGGACATGGATTGTCTCTGTCATGCCTGTGGCCCCAGCACCTGGAACAGGGACTTGCACAGAGAGGCCTCAATGATAGTGTGTGTGTGAAGTGAGCAGTGGAGGAGAAAGTAAATTCATGGATGAATGAGAGACGGGATGACCGAGGATTCTACAGCTGTTGCAGGACACGGTCAGTTCCTTCTAAATTGCTGAGGATTATGTCTGAGTACACACATGACGGAAAGGGAAACAGAGGGAGTTAGAACTGAGGAAAGCTCACTGAGGCTTTGAGGGAGGAGGTCTCAAAGAGCATTTGATGGGACCTCACTTAATCTAAGGGCCCAAAAACCTGGACACTTGCCTCAACCTCTCTTTTTTTTCCTTCTAAAAAAAGTACTCTTGTAGCCCTTTAATATATGCCAGGGACTGTCGTCAGCATTATGCACGTATTAACTCACTTACACTTCCCATGACCCTATGATGATGGGGACTCTTATTGTCCACCTTTTACAGATAAGGAAACTAGGGCACAGAGATGGTAAGTAACTCACCCAGGATGACCTAGTAAGTGGTGGAACTGGTATTCGACCAGGCCATCTGTCCCCAGCATCCAACCCTTAACTACTACACTGCCCTGTCTCTCTTATCCCATCATCTCGCCTCATCCCCAAGCTGCTCTCCAAGAGAGACACAGGTTTCTTTTCTCTCCCTTGATGACCTCTCTGTCACCTCCAGTCTCTCAGACTCACATGCCTGGAGAAAGTTCTCCATGAACCTTGCTCTCTGGAAACAACTGTTAAGTAACCCCCCAAGTGCCTCACAAATACACCACAGCTGCGTGGTCAAATACAACAGCCAAGTCACCCTGCCTCCCCCGTTCCCTCTGCCTCATCCCTGAGCCTGGCCCACACCGCCTTCTTCCTTCCCAGCCAGGAGGTTCCTCTCCCAGTCCTGGCCTTGGCCCACCTGCCTTCCCGGGCAGACTCGAGGGAAGTGAGTGTTGGAGGAGCCTAAGGCCTCACAGCTCTAAGCAACTGCTTCACCTGTTAGTCTAGCACATGCCTTCCAGGCGGCTACAGGGGACACATCAGGGGGTTTCCAAATACCCCCTTGGCCAGTGCCCAAGAGAAGCCTCAGTCCCCCCCACCAGGAACTCCATTCCACCTCAGCTTGGATCCCTCCAGTGACAGCAGCCCTAGCCCAGGATCTCCCCTTCAGGGCCAAACACAGACAGGAACACTAATAAGGAACCCACAGGCCATCTTCCTCTCCTTCTCCCTCTCACTAAATTGTGGATAATAATGCATCTAATTATTCTCCCAACTAAAAGTGGTTTAATTCCTTTGAAGAATCTTGCAAGGTAGCTTGACTAGACAGCAGGCGGGACAGTCCAGTGCCTCTGGTGGGGGGGCCAGGGTCTTCCAGTTGCCTGTCTTCGGGTCCAGCAAGTAGGCGTTTGGATTGATGGTGCAGTCCTTTTTCTGAACATCAGTGGCTGTGGTGACACCCCCACATACAAACACCCTGCCGTCTCCGATGGAGCATATAGCATGGGACTCATCCAGGGGGCAGTTGTTGGGCAAGAGAGGCAGTGAGATGCTCGTCCTGTTGGCCTTGATTTTCTGTAGGTTGATTTCCATGCTCTGCCAGTGGCTGTGCACGCAGAGGATGTTGTCCTGATTGAAAGAGAGCAGGGGCCGGTGGCTGAACTCGATGGGGAAGGTGATACTCTGGACAACCTCCCCAGTGTTGGTGTCAAAGCAGTCCACCACTCCAACTCGGGAAATGGAGCACTTCACCAAGCACCGTCCAGTGACAATGTACAGGTTCCGGTCACTGTGGGTGATCACAGCTGTGGCATCCATAGGGATGCTCATCTTCCCTGCCAGGCACCAGGCCTCCTTGTGCTCATCATAACGATAGATGTCAGAGACATAGTGCCTTGGGGCAATGCTCCCACCCACTGAGTACACTGTCCCCCCACAGGTCACCATGGTGTGGAAGACAAGACCAAGCGGCAGCTCAGGCAACTTGGTCCAGGAGTTGCCCTCCATGTCATACCGCCAAGCTGTCTTTAGACCTGAAATCTGGTCTGTGGTGCCACCAGACATGTAGATGTAGCGACCAGCAGAGGTGGCACTGAGTGCTGCTGCCTGATAGGGCATCTCTGAGAGCTTCAACCACAGGTTCTCCTGGATGACATAGGCAAACACTTCATCATTGAACTTGCCCTGGGCCTTTTGGCCACCTAGGATGACCACCGAATCAAGCAGGGCCCCTTTCCGCTGGTAGCTCAGCAGGCTGGATGGCCTGTCCTGCTGTCGTTCCACAAGGACACTCTCAATCAGGGTCACAGGGGCTGAGCTGTTCTCCATGTCCATCAACTTGTTGCTGGCAAACATCAGTGTCTTATCGGAGACGGCATTGAGATTGATGTAACTGAAGAACTTCTTGAAATACTTCTCCCGCTCATCCTTCCAGAAGTACACCCAATTTATGAGTGCACTGAGAGCCTGGTCCTCATTGAGCACATGCAAGTTTTCATCTTGAAGCAGGCGGCCAAAGATGACAGGCGGACAGCACATGAAGTCCTCAGGCATGGAGCCCTCAGGACTGGCCCAGTAGTGGAAGTTGTCACGGATGCCTGAGTACGCCAAGTCCGATACCTCTTTGAGCCCAAACATCTCGGCCAAGATGAGGTAGTGCAAACAGTTGACAGGGCTAATGGACTTAATCAGGAAGTCCTTGCAGTGGTTTCGAAGGCGTGGTGTGTTGAAATACTGGGCCCCACGAAGGAGCTCCTCCACGTTCTGCTCTGAGATCACCACCTTGCCGCTGTAGAAGTAGTCCAGGAGCTGGTCCACCGTGGCCGGACTCAGGTAGTTGGGGTCAAGGGTGATAAAGAGCTCATCAGTGGTCTTCACTTCATCACTAGAGATGAGGCTCTTGACTACTGGAGAAACAGCAGCCAGTACATTGCGATGTGCATAAAAAACATGGTGGTCCACAGTCAGGGCCACATCCCAGTACTCTTTGCATTTCCTCTGTTCATTCAGTTTCTGCAGCAGGAAGCTGTCGTAGTTTTTCTCAGTGAATTCCCATTTCATGGTGCTTCTTGCTAGCTGAGGCAGAAGATCAGCAGCAGGTACTGGAGAGAAGACTTTCTCAGGCCGTTGGGATTCAGACTGATGGTTGTGTGCAGAGCAGCTGACGGGGGAGGAGTAGAGGATGGGAGAGGGGATGATGTCATAGAGTCGATGAGGTCATCACAATGCAGGTCCCCCTGAGGCCTTCCTCAGAGGCTCAGGGTCTTTCTGCCCTCTGAAGGCTCCGACCTGCCAAAGCCAGGTACCCTATCAGGACTTGGGCCCAGGGCCCAGAGCTAAGGAGGAAACTCAGAGATGGGTTGTGAGTGCCACCTGGGTCCTTCAAAGCTCAGTTCAAGACTGCTTCTGGAACGTCAGGGCCAGTTGGACAGGGGGTGGTGTAACGAGGGATAAGGGCAGGCTGGGGCAAGGAAAGAGATTATTAGATCATCCAGAAGAATCCTCTCATTGTACAGGAGGGAAAGTGGGGCCCAGACAAGAGAAGGGACTTGCTGAAGATCACACAGCCAGTTGGAAGTAGAGCAGGGCCTGGAACCCAAGCGTTCTGGAACTTAGTACTCTTTCCACCCTTCCAGGAAGCTGAATCCTGTCCACCACGGGAGACCTTGCTGGTATTTGAAACCCCAGTGGCATAGCTTTCAGCATCATGGCAACGTGCAGCCACAGTGGTATGACAAGCAGATGGGTAGTGTGGTTCCGTGTGGGAAACGAACCCAGGGCGACAGGTGTTGAGAGCACCGACTTAACTACTGGACCACCAGGGCCGGCAGGATTGTTTTATGAGGCGTTATTAGGTTAACATGGCAGTACTGATTCCTCTATTACTTTCTGCAACCCTTCTTCCACCATTTTCAGTTCAGTTATAAAAGAATGCTCAAAAAGCCATGATTCTCCTCAGGGTTATTTATACTCTAGCTCAGTGGCTCTCAAAATATGCCCCTCCCCACAGGGTGGTAGCATCTCCCAGGAATTTGTTTAAAATGCAGAGTATCAGGCCCACCCTAGTGAGGTGAATCAGAAGCTCAGGAGGTGGGCCCAGTAAACTCCCTTTTGGCCAGCCCTCCGCATGAAGATTCTGCAGGCTAGAGTTGGAGAGCCACTGCTCCACTGGCTACTCAGAACTACTTCACCATCCCCCCCTGTGCCCTTGCTGGAAATCTGCATTTTAACAAGAACCAAGTGATGTATAAGTAAAGTATAAGTAAGTATAAGCAAAGTGTGAGAAGCGCTGGTCCACCTCAGAGCCATAAACCCAACCCCAGTCCATATAACCCCCACCACCTGCACACAGAGGATCTATGAGTGGCTTCTGGGGATGGGAAGGAGGAGGCCAGCAGAAAGAGCAGTGGCTTTTAATCTCTCTGAATTTGAATCTATCACTCCCGGGGGGAAAACATCAGCACGGCATGCCCTAGTTACGCAGAGCATGTTAGCAATGTCATCCTTTCTTTGTGACAGACAGCACATAACTGATACTGGCTCAACCCAAGGTTGACATAAGGGAAGCCATATTGTAGAAAAGAAACCATATTGTAACTTTGAATGACCTCTGACTAACCCAGCTGGATATGCACCCTCCAGGAGATCTAACTGTTCTGTAGATTTTATGACCCCCACTTGTGCATGCAAATCTCAGCTGCAAGAAGATGACAGCTTTGTTCTTTTGAGTTCCTTAGGAACGAGGTGACCCCTCAACAGACAGACTATCTGGTGTGGCGACTCCCAGCCTGTAACACCAGAGAGTCGACATTCCTCACCCCCTCCCTATAACCCACTGGCCCATGTAACTGCTTCAAGATTCTGTGTCCCCCTTAAGATGGTTCTTTCAGACATTAGTTGGCCATGTTTCCCCTTGGTAGCAAGCTGTAATAAAATGCCCTTTCTCTGCCCCGATCTTGCCTCTTTATGACTGGCATTGTCTTGCAGGCAGCAGATCGGGCCCTTTGTGTAGTAACATAACTACCATTAAACCACCCTGGAAATGTGTTGCTCTTAGGTGTCAGTGTTATTTCATAAGTTTTCAGTTTTCTTTTCAAATAAGTGAATTTCAATTTTAACTCCAAGCATAAAAAAATTACCTAAGACCAGCTAACCTTTTTTGTATCACCAGTACAGTAGTGGGAACCTATCGTGCTAAAACAAAGCAAGGGGATACACCTTTTCTGCTCTAATAAGGGTATCTTCACCTTAAGTGCATCTGCCCTCAACTTCCACAGCTTTTGGGGGTGGGGGGAAACGTCCCCAGAATTCCGCCTTTAACTTCCTGCAGCCTCCCTTAAGGGCTCAGAAATTTTCTTTGAAATCCTGCACCCCAAGGCCGCTGCCTCAACCTCTCGCTTTGCTCTTCTCTCATTTTCCTCCACTGAGTCTCAGGTCTGTCCCGAGTTGACTACGAACATGTTGACCTTCCCAGAAGTCTGCCAGGTGGACCATGTAACGTTTGTGCTGAGAATCAGTCTCTCCCTGCTCAACCTGGCCGGACGATGCAGCCTGATACCGCCATCTGCTTCTTTAACGCACTTCCAGTTTCACTTCTAGCTCCTCCTAGGCTGTGGCCCCACCAGGGCAACACAGCCCCCTCTGTGAGCTTTCCTAACCCAGGAAGTACGAGGGTCAATTCTGTGGGGCCCAGACCCAATGTGACTTGCCTCTCTCCCTTCTTAAAGCAATCTCGGAGTCAAAAATTCTAAAGCCCCAATTCAATTTGATAACTTTTCTTCCATAGAAGCAAAGACTTTTTTTGAGTTTTGTTTTTGTTTTTGCTGAGGAAGATTTGTCCTGAGCTAACATCTGTGCCAGTCTTCCTCTATTTTCTATGTGGGTTGCCACCATAGCATGTCTGGCCAGTGGTGTACATCCATGCCCAGTATCCAAACCTGCAAACCTGGGCTGCCAAAGTGGAGCATGCCAAACTCAAAACTACACCACAGGGCCGGCCCCAGCAAATACTTTTAATCAAGCCCTAAAATAAATTTGGGCCTTGAGTTTTTAATCACATCGTACTGGGAAAAATAATACAATTATTCTATCAAACAATTTTATTTGTAAAGGAAACGTGTTGACAACTCGAATGTGCTATAAAAAGATTTGGGTATGGTAAAACTAGTTTGATTTCTACCCCCTTCCCATCCCACAGAATTGCTTACGTTAAAATCACTCATGTCAATTGAGACAGAGTTCATTTTTTCAAAGAATTCCTTCTACCAAAAGTTAGACTCAAAATATATACAGTATTACCTAAACATTCTCGAGTCAAATTCTGATTTTAGTTTTGATGTCAACATAGAAATTAACAAATTCATGAACTGCACACAAATTCATTTTAAGAAGGCAAATGGTTGCCTTGCTGCCCTTGTTGTTTTTTTGGGTTTATTTCTTGTTCTTTTAAGCACACAATGGTAGCTTTTATTTAAAGTTGAAGCTCAAAAATAGCATGGAATATGCCTGTTTTCAGCAATATACACACAGCTTTTAATAGATATATTGGATAATTAGATCACAAGAGTTTATTACTCATATTGATATACAGCAAAGAAAGTCAAGAATAATTTCTTCCACTAAAGCCCGCAAACATACTGTAACTCTAGATGTGTTCTGAGTCTAACGTTCTTAAAGAAACTCAAACCAGTAAATGGGTGGAAATTCCTCAATTATCTGGATTACTCAGTTTTTATTCTGCCTGAATAGGAAGAATATCTTCCTCCTATGAATTAATTCCATATATCGCTTAGCAACGTGAAAGGTGGAAAATTAATTTTTCCTTTCTAGGTATCTGTAAGCAAAGTAGGAGGAAAAGATTGACTTGGCAGAGTTTGACTCAAAAACAGGCCACGTTCCAAACGTTTCTAAGTACTGTACCTACTTTTGACCTCTGAATTCCATTTTCCTATAGAACATTTCCGAAATAGATGGCCCATCAATGCCTATTAAGCCCATAATATAGATGAAATAATCTTAGAAACACCATCTATAACAGCTTATGAGAAAATTTACTCAATCTCAGATTCCAACTTTAGGCCACATAAAGACAGAGAATTTTTAACACGCATTCCAACCAACTCTGAAGTAGCTCATTTGGGAAGCGCTGTGCTACATTATCCTCAAACAATCCACTGTCTCAGGCATCAGCCCTACAGCAGGCTCTCCAACCGGCGCCTGAAATGCTCATCTTCCACGCTACTGAATAAAGGGACATGTTTATGCTTTAGCTTGTGACAAGCCAGAGTTTATCCTGAAAATTAAAGAGGCTGAAAAGAAGTTTAACATCCATTCTTGCACTGCTTTCCGGGGGAGGGGTACGCATAGCCACAAAAAGGTGGGATTCAGAAGTTCCTCTGAGTAGGGCCAAATTTTTCCTTGAGAAGTTTTGTATCTGCTTAAGTGCCCAAATAAGCCCTCAGTTAAGACCCTAAGGTTAGAATCATAGAACACGGGAGATTTTCTAAGAAGCAATTTAAATACGTCCAATCTAAAGTGAACCCTCTCCAATGCAGGTACTCCTACTCCTTACGTGAAAAATTCGTGAATGACTGAGAAAAATGAATTAAATAATCCTAACAAAATAATTCAGAATTACAAAAAAAAAAGAAGTATATTTCTCAAGAGGACCAAGGTACAAATTCTCTCTAGCAGCTAAAACAGTGATCGCCTTTGCTTATATTCAATCTTCTGTTCCCAAAACTAGCTGCTAAATTTGCTTAGGCTATCTATACAGTGACACGCAGTAAAGCATGATGGCTGAAAACACAGACGCTGGAACAAGACGGCTTGGGTTCACATCCCAGATCACTCCTAAGAGCTGCAGCATCTCTAGCAAGTTATTTAACCTCTCTGTGCTCCAGTTTCTTCATTCGCACAATAAGGACAACAACAGCGTCAACCACAGAGGACTGTAGTGAAAATTAAATGAATTAATCCAGGTAAAGCACAAAGAATAGAGCCTTGCATGTAATAAGCATACAGTAAGTGACCATATTCTCTAGATATTAAGAAATAAGTACGATTTGGAAAAGCTGAAGGAGGATAGGCATTCCAAGAGCTGAAGTAACAATCGAAGCACCGAGGTGAGAAAGAGACATACATATGGACTAAAGGGCATTCTATTTCCCCAGAGAATAATGTTCATGAGGAAGAATCGTAGAAATTGGGAATAATGAAGACCCAAACCCAATTATGCTGGCCTTGAATGCCAGACCAAAAAACAGTTCTTTTACTTAGAAGGCAGCCACTTAAATTTTCGATCTGATTAGATCTGTGCTTTAGCAACATTAATTACAAGGCTATATCATATCACTATCAATGCAATTCTGATGTTCTCTGCCTCTTATGAGGGTTAGCAGACCCAAAGACGCAATTGTTCTGCTAACTCACTGTCAGAATCTGTCGCTGAACTGTGGCATATCTGAATCATCTGACATCCTCACTGTGCCTGGCACACAGTAGGCATTCTATAAATGTCGTATCATTACTTTTAGTGGCCACCAGACAGCAGTGAAGTAAGCAGAGAAAGAGGTTAATCCCTGAAGGAAATATATATTATAAATGAAGCAAATGAAGGAGCCTAATGAGAGTTTACAATTAAGCTAAAACATAAGTCACTGCTGATCAATATACTTGCCCAAAACAGTGGGGGTGGGAGGTAGGGATTAATCTTACTTTTCATTAAAACCAGATAAAATGGATCCTCGTGTATTATTAAATCTCATAAAATTTAGCTGTCAAATTGGTATGGTCTCTTCAAAGGATTATTTGAGCAATATCGCTGTAATAGACTACTCAGCAGTCTTGTGGAGAAACAATTTAAGGAAGATTTCCTCAGGATACTTGGACTCCCCTGTTCCCTGCAGCATTAATCACAATAGCTGAGTGTGTGACGGATGAAGATGTGGTATATACAGACGATGGAATATTACTCAGCCATGAGCAAGAAGGAAACCCTGCCATTTGGGACCACATGGATGAAAGTGGAGGACATGATGCTAAGCGAAGTAAGCCAAACAGAGAAAGACAAATACCACAGGACCTCACTTGTATGTGGAATCTAAAAACGCAATTTTTTTTAATTTAAAAAGTCAAACTCATAGAAACAAAGAGGAGAATGGTGGATATCAGGAGCTAGAAAGTAGGGGAAATGGGGAGATGCTGGTCAAAGGGCATCAGCCTTCAGTTATAAGATGAATGACAAATAAAGTTCTGAGGATCTAATGTACAGCATGGTGACTACACTTAATAATACTGTATCATATACTTGAAATTTGCAAAGCAAGTAGATCTTAAGCATTCTCACCAAAAAGAACGTAAGTATGTTAGGTGATGGAAGTATTAACTAACCAGATGTGGTAATCATTTCACAATGTATACATGTATCAAATCATCATGTTGCACACTTTAAATATACACAATTTTAACTGTCAATAAAAAAGGTAGATTTCCTCAAACAAGACAAAATCATGCTAGACAGTAAAAATACAGGTTCAACTCCTGACCCGCCTCCAACAAGTAATTAGAGGAAGGGGCAGCTCACAGGAGCTGTGGGTTTCCATGGAAACCTACACACTATCCACCTGGCTGCTTCACTCACCACAGGCGTCAGCGCTAATCACAACAAAAAGGACCCCTTCCCCTCACCTTGAGTAAGGACGACTAGAGTCCACTAGCCTACAGATAACCCTTGCAGTCAACTGTTTGCTGCATTTCTTAAAAAAAAAACAAAACACGTGTGTTTGTGACACCAGTAAGAGTAATATACTAATAGTTAACATAGTAAGAAAAAAAGTGTTCACTGAAAGATTGCCCACAGATCATGACATAGGAGGGTGGAGATAAGAGTTTCTTAAGCACGTATCCCCAGATTATTGTCTCCTTTCTGGTGGGGGTAGGTGTAAAATCAGATTCCCAAACGTGTCAGTCAGTGCTTACTTTTAGAAACTGAAAAAATATATATACACAATTAGTAAGAGCATCCCTTGGATAGTAAGCAAGCTGGGTATTTGAGTTTCTTGGGCAATCAATCATTCTGGCAACACAAACATAGTAAAGTAGGCCCAGATTTCTACATACCTTCTTCTAAACTACTTTTTAGTTACAATTGTAGACCAAAAAAATGGAAAAAAAAGTTCTAGCAGGCTTGTGCTTTTTAAAGCTTCAAATATCTTGCAAGTATTCGAATCTGAAACCCTGAAATGTATTCACTTAAACACATTCCCATCAGCATGAGCAGCAACACTCCACTATCCATTCCGGTACTGATTTCTCATCCCGCTGGCTTCTCCCTACCAGCAAGTCCTGGGATACCATCTTTACCCTGCCTGCCCCCATTGCTTGCTTGTGCTTCGGGAATTATAATTACAGCGATCCTGCCTTTAGAACATCCTCAGAGCACAAAGCCTCTTTGTATGACTGGGGGTGACAGGGGTGCCTTCCAGGCTCCAGAGCAAAGAGTGGGCAGTGGCAACAAAGGCAGCAACGAAGGAAGAGGAGCTGGAGCCCTGTGGTGGCCCTCGGCCCTGCTCAATACTGTTGGAGGGGTTTACTGGTGGGTGCCCAGTCAAAAGGCTCTGTGAAGCCTCTGCACCCTTCCCATGGGGGAAGGAGGGAACTGGGCCTCTCCTAACAGATGGCCAGATCACCACCAAGCCCAGAGGGCCAGAAAGCAGAAGGAAGCATGAAGAAAGGGAGAGAAGAAGGCAGTGGCTGAAGCACACCCTCTGCGCTGCTGTCAGGGCCTCAGGGAACGAAGTCTCTGACAGTCAAGGCCATCACCACAGGAAATCTGCCTTCTACTGGGATTACCCGCCCCCGGTAGGTGCTCAAATATGCACTGAGGCAGCAACAAAAATCTACACAGGAAGACAAGTCTATTAAAAATTCTAAAAATAAAACAGCCTAAAAGCCAAATGAAAATAATTTTTGTTCATTATGAGAGTCCCAACTCCTATTTGCAAAAGCCATTATGAAATGAATACGTGTTTTACTTTCAGCCTACCTAACTACCTCAGTCTCCTCTTCAAAACTGCTACTTTCTAGCTCTGTGACCATCAAACAGGTTTCAACCGAAGATCAGTGAGCCCCATCTGCACACACTGAAATCAGCCGTGCTGGAGCAGAAGGGACGCGGACAGGGAACTTTCAACTCAGGGGACATCCCAAAAGCGCTACAAAATGTCCTACCACTTGAATGCCGGCTACTCTCTTCCAAGGATGCAGTTTTCCTCTTTTACCACTTCTTCCCTCCATTTTTTCCTTCAACAGGGTCAGATGACCGTATACCTCAAAAGTGACAATCTCTCCCTTATTTCTACACACGCTTTATCACAAAAGCAGACAATGCAGTAACAGCTTTCCACATGGCGACTGGAGGGAACTGCGGATAAACCCTGGGACAGTCCCATCCTTCTCCTCCTCCACCTGCCCAGCATCACTCCAGCGAGTGTTCTGAGCAGCCCTAGCACAGCACTAAGATCCACTAAAGCCGAACAGGAAAAACCAAACTGCCTCCTGTGGGTAAGGCCTGCGGATGAGGACTGTTTCTCCTCCTTGTGTGGGCATAACACCACTTGCGTTAAACATTTTCAGTTTTATTTACACACATTTCCTTCAAAAAAAATCCTTCAAGACAGCAGCAAAAGCACCAGGAAACTCTCTATCCATCACTCTCAATCGTGTTTAAAAATAATTAAAAAGACAACAGGAACCACTTCAAATGAGCCCACAGGACAGCTCTCGGCCGTGACAACTGTCCTGAAAACCACGCTGCCAATCTGTGCGACAGCAGTAGGAAGTCCAGTCTCGTCCTTGGTTCAGCCCCCACCCCCTCTCTCTCCAAGAAAAAATGAAACAGCAGGAAGCGTAAACAACCACTTAATGGAAAACACAAATGGGTAAATATTTCAAAATTGGCTAAAAAGCCTCAGGTCTTAAGAAATTCAAGAATGCTAGTAGGGGGAAATAGGAAGAGAAAAATAACATCGTGTTTCCCTGAAAGTGAGCACTGTAAGAATGCAAAGACAAACGTGGTTCAAAGCCACTGTCTCTCCCCAGTGCTTTCGTCTTTTTAATGGTTTCTCTCTCCTTCTGTCTTTCCATACAGAATGTTATTTTCTAAATCGTTTCTTCTGTACCTATTTCTCCAGCCCCATAACAAATTTTACAATTTTCAGCTGACCTCTTTGGTTCACGTGAGCAGGGTGATGAAAAGCCAGGGGCAGGTCCCTTCGCATGCAAAGCTCACCTGCAGCCCCAGGCCCAAGCCTGAGCAGCCCTCTTTGCAGAGCCCCTGATGAGGGTGGACCGCAGTTAGTTACAGCTGGACCAACACTTCCGGAGCTGCAGGGCCACGCTGGTCCATAAAGCACCTCCGTGAGAAGGAGAAAGGGATGCCCTCTCTGAGGGGACACAGTTCCACACGAGGTGCTCCTCTTGGTAAGGGGAGCACAGAATGGATTTCCACTCCCACTTGCCACCCAAAACAAGTGTCCTTCTGCTGGGCCCAATGCATAACAACCCTCCACAGCTGCCCTGCAAAAATGTACCTGGGGCAACACTGCACCTCCAGAGTAGGTTTCCAGAAAGAACCACCTCACCAAAGACAAATAAACAGGCACTGTACAAATTTCCTTACCGGAAATCCCCGCATTTGCTAATACAAATTCATCCCTACACATATTAAGACTAGAGCAAAAACAGTCTAGCAGAGAAGGAAAACTAGCAAATTTGGGAAAAAGACAACTCCTACATCTTGAGGGATAATCGGTTGCTTCCTAAGGACCATAATCTTAGACAACAGGCCTAAACAGCTGAATGTCGAATGCACGTCATAAGCTGAAACACTAAAACAATCACCACCATCTGCACAAGAAGGCATGGACACTCACCTCTGCAGGTTCACTTTCTCCAAATCTGACAGTTCTTTTCTCAATTTTTATTTATTTTTTCCTCTTCTTCTCCCCAAAGCCCCGCAGTACATAGTTGTAAATTCCAGTTGTAGGTGCTTCTACTTGTGGCATGTGGGATGCCACTTCAGCATGGCTTCATGAGCATTGCTAGGTCCGCGTCCAGGATCCGAACCTGCGAAATCCCGGGCCACCCAAGCAGAGCCCCCAAACTTAACCACTGGGCCACGGGGCCGGCCCCTCCTTCTTTCTCAGACCTTCTTTCGGTTCTATTCTACAGTTATATAAAACCACATAGAGTGACACGTGGTTAAATTTGTAACACCTGATCAATTCCCCCCGTGGGTGGTGGGCCCCTTTCCTGCACGGAAATAAGAGAAGTAGATAGCCTGGATTACAAAAGGCTTAACGTTCCATGGCTTCCAACCCTATCATTCTTTTATGCCCTACAGAAGAGCTAAGTGTCACATGCGTCCACATTAGTCCCAGTCATGCAGGAGGGGCAACAGAAGGCAGCCTGCGGGCTAGCTGGGGCAAAGCTGAAATGGAGTACAGCCCAGCGTCAGAAGGCTAAGGCGGCGGTTCTCGAACTTTAGTGGGCATCGAATCTACTGGGGAACTTTTCCAGACTCAGATTTCTGGGGCCCTCCATACATCTGATAAGTGAGAACGTCCTGGGGCACTTATATTTTGACAAAGCTCAAACTGCTGACCTAGGTCCACTAGAATGGTCAGAGAAACTGGGAAATCCTCCACGCCTATCAGCAATTCCAAAATAAAAGGCAGCCATCACCAACCGAGGCTGTGCAGGTCAGAGGATGAGAAGAGGACCGCCAGCTGCAGCCTAACAGGCTGTGCTGGGCGGGAGCCTGTAGCTAGAGGTTCCCTGTTACTGGGCAAAAAAGCCCTGTGCCCTGTAAGCAAAAAAATTTTTTGCATGTGAGAAATACTTCTAACATCTGAAAAATATTTAAAATAATATAATGACTATCTCTGTACCCTACACCCAAGATAAGCAAATCTTAAATTGCAATGATCTGATTCAGAGGTTTTCAGTACTAGAATATTACAGATACAACTACAGCCCTCTGTACCCCTGTCCAACCCCATTCCTCATCTCCTCTTCCCAGAGATAATCACTACTCTGAATTTGGAGTTAGTCGTTCCCCTGCACGTTGCTATACTATTACTTCGTATGTACACAGCCACAAACAACATAATTTTGCATGTTTGCAGATTTTACGCAAGTGGAAACAGTCTGTAAGAATTCTTCTGTTCCTTGCTGCCCCACCCCACAGTAGATTTGTAAGAGTCAACCACTTTAATGCATGTGGCTACAGTTTATTTTTCACAATGCTAGACCATCAACTGTGCGGGACTATCTAACATTCTGTGTATTCCAGGTGGGTGGACATTTAAGCTGCAATGAGCATTCCTGTACTCATTCTCTCCGACAAGCGTGCAGCAGTTTCTTAGAGTGGATACCTGGAAATGGACATTTGGGGTAAATAGGTATGTTTGCCCTCCTTCAACTGGACATCACTATACTGCTCTCCAAGGTGGCTGGGTCCAGTTACATTCCCACTAGCAGTATGTAACCACAACCTTACCAACACTTGGTTATCGCAGCATTTAATTTTTGCCAATCTCATGGGCGTGAAATGGCATCTCATTGCTGTTTCAATTTGCACTTCCCTGATTATAAGTCTTCTACAAGGAAATTCTGCTGCTTTTATATGCACGTGTCAAATAGGTGTTTCTCAGTTTAGGAAAATCTAACCCATCTTGTCTGATTCTGGGCACTTCTTCCCCAAGGACCCTGCCAACAGCCACCACAGCTGGAAAGCTGAGGTGCAGGAGGGCACCAAGAAAACAGCTGAGTTAAATAAGGAATCATCTTGGACAGAGGGCCCTAATTAACGCATTTGCTAATTAGTCTTTCCTTTTCCTCTTTTGGCAAGTCTTACTTCCAAGACAATACTATGGGCCTGTGGCCTTAGAACAGGGGAGAGAACAGGGATGGGGAGTGGGAAAACTAAAACACTGACATAAAAGTACCACAACAGTCTTTACGCAAAGAAAATAAAGTGACTGCAGAGCAATACCCATTACTCCACCTTCTAAACACTCTCCATGCTAACAGACTCCTCTCAAGCTCATCAAGTCGGGCTCCCTCTGAAACGTTCCCATCTTTTTCTCTAGACCAGACGCTGTCCCCCCTCCCTTCCGCAACCCTTTCATCTCCCTTCCCCCTCAATGACGAAATAGCCTCTCCCTTTTCCCCAGTCTCCAGCTTCTGGTTCCTAGCTCCACAGGACCCTGTCCCTCTCCTCTCCAACTCCACGTCCTCGCTTCCTTCCCTTTCCAAGATGCATCCACAGTAAAAACAGCCCTCCCATCACCCACCCCAAATACAGGAATCCCCTGCAGTACGCGGCCCTGCGTTACATGCCAGGCAGGCGGGCGACTTGTCCCCCTTCGCTTGGGACAGCTGTCCTGTCTCGGGGGGTTCTCCAAGTGTGCCAGGTCCAGACCACCCGGAAAAAACTCATTCGGTCTTCGGTGGCAGAAGCGTCTTTACCAGGGCCACAGGCGCACTCCTGTCTGGGGCATGAACGGACCTCGGGCCCTTTCGTGGAAAAGACACCTCCCGGGGACCTCCACAAAGGCAGGCAGGCCTCCCTCCTGGCGCCCAGCGGGGATGCTTTAGCCCTCGGAGCGGTAGGGAAGGGGGCCTGGCAGAGACCGAACGGTCCCCGCAGTAAGAAGTTTCCGCGGCTCTGCCCCACTCGCCCAAGGAGGCCCTCGCCCCCAGAGCACACCCCTTACACGAGTCTCCCCCCTGCGGCTCCCCGGATCGGCTCCCCAGAGCACCACCGACCCCCAAAGCGGGCCCTGCTCCTCCGTCCCGCCCCGCAGGAGAGCCTTCCTCCTAAGCCAGCCCGAACGGCGCTGGGTGGGCGTGCCCGGACCGGGACCGGCGCCCCTGCTCCCTGAGCGATCCTCCCGGCTCTCGGGGGCTGGGAGCTCCTCCTCGCCCCGGCGCCCTGCGCGGGCCCGCGCCGGCCCAGGGGGCCCGGGTCCCAGTCAGGCTACGACTCTCACCGGCTCTGTGACCTTGGGCAAGTCACTGCCCCGCGGCAGCCTCAGTTTCCCCCTCTGCCCAGCGGGGACCGGGAGAGCTCCCGCGCTGCCCGCCCGAGGGGAGGGGCTGCCCCGGGGGAAACGCTCTGTGAGCCGCTCGGCGCGGCGGGGACGCCCGGCTCCCAGGGCTCCGGGCCGGACGAGGCTCCCCCGCCCGCGCTCCGCTCCTCGGCGGGGCCGCGCTGCTGGACCGCACGCCCTTGGCCGCCGCCCGCGAGAGCCCCCCACGGCCCTCCCGCCCGGCCCGCTCCCGCCCCCGTACCTGCTCCCGGCGCTCGGCCGCAGGCGCCGCCACCCTGCGCGCCCGCCCGGAGAGGCCCGGGGCCCGGAGGGCTGAGGCGGCCGGCGGCGGCGGGCTCGGGCCGGGCGGCGACGGGGGGCGCGGGCGGCGCGGGGCCCGAGCTCGGGGGGCCCGGCCTGGGAGACGACGACGAGGGCTGGAAGTGCGCGGCGGCCGCGGCTGATGAGGCGGTGGCGGCGGCGACCGCGGCGGCAGCGCTTCCGCTCATGGCGGGCCCGCGGGCAGCGGCCCCGGTGGCGCCTCGACTCCGGCGCGGCGGGCGCTGGCTGGGCCCGGGCCGGAGGCGGCGGCGGCTGTGGCGGCGGCGGAGGCGGCTCCCGGAGGGGGCGGGGGCGGGGCCGGGAAGCGGCGGCGGCGGAGGGGGCGGGGCCTCCGCGCCGCCGCCGCCAATGGGCGCCGGGCTCCCGGGCTCCTGGGCTCCGGGGCGGTGGCGGCGGGGGGCGGCTTCTGCCCGGCCTCTCGCCCGGGCCAGGAGGCTGAGGGCCGCCGGCAGGGAGCGGCCTGCTCGGGGGCGCCCCCGGCCCGGGTCCGCCTCCGGGGCCAGGCCTCCCGCGACCCAAGCCCGCCTGCGCCTGGGGCTCCGCTCGCGGCTGCCGGGGCGCCGGTGTTCGCGCCCGCAGGGTCGCCGGGGCTCGGCCCGGGAGCTGCCTCCCGCTGCCCGGCTGCGCCGCCTCGGCCTCGCTCCCCCGCTGGCCCGCGCTGCAGCCGCCGCCTCCCGGTCTCCGTTCCGACGCTCAGGAGGAAGCTGTCTGCGTCCTCAGGCTGCGTCTCCGCGATGGGTCAGCCCCGGCCCGGAGAGGACGGCTGAGGCCGAGACGGGCGGACGGAGAGGCGCCGCCCGAGCTGGGTCAGGAGCCGCGGCCCGCCGGCTCAGCCCTGGCCCCGCGCCCCCTTCTCTGACTCTCTTCCCGTCCTGCTTAAACGCCCTGGCCTTGGAGGACTGGCAGGAAGCCGGCCCCGCGCCGGGCCCGTCTCAGAAGAGGGAGAGGCTGCGAGGTGAGGAGCGGCTTCTGAGCTGGGCTCAGTTTTCCCGAGAGTAGTCTGCGGGTTCGCGGCCCCCCTGGCCGCCCTCCCCTCTTGGATGTGATGCTGGTCGCCGAACCCATTTTCTCTGTTTCTCTGACGCCCGTACCAAAGCCGTGGAGGAGCAAAATTGTTCAGCCGTGTGCTGGGGTTGCCGCCAAGTGCAGCCACGTGGGCGAGGGCGCCGCTGAGCTGCTGACTCGATCGTTTCGGTAAAGGGTTATCCTCAGCCTTTCCGCCCATGCAGCCCCCGACTGGGGACCGAGCAGAGACGGCGACCAGTTGACAAGGCCCAGTGCTCCGGTGGCGGGCTGGTCCCATGAGAGAGAAGTGTGAAGGAATCTGGCAACAGAGATTTCGGATTCCACCCTGACGCTTACTAGGGGCGTGATCTTTCACGCACATGGTCATCAGCCATGTTAGGCACTGGGGACACAGTGATGAAGACACAGTCCAGGCCCTCGACGGGTCGACAGCCTCCTCGGAGGATGGTGAGATATGCTCTTGGAAGTTAGGAACTGAAGAATGAGCAGCAGTGTACCAGGTGGAGCAGGTTGTGGGAAACTGGACTGGGAAGACGTGAAGATTCTAACTGGCAAGGGACCTGGTATTGCCTGAATTCCATTCTTGATTTTTTGGTCACAGAGAAGGCAGATAACATGGCATTACTACCCAGGCCTTCAGTCTCAATGCCCGCCCACTGTAGAATGCCCGGAAACGCTGCCTCTAAACTATGGCGTTCTTCTCTCCTTTGACACAGCGCAGCAGCCTTGAGCCAAATCAGACCTATTTTCACCCCAAAGCCCAAACCCCAGTTGCGGCTCTTACAACTCCCATTTGGTCAAATGCCTTGCCCAACAGCCCTAGAAGAAAAGGAGCAGACGAGCTGTTTAATCCAGTAACCAAAGGAGCCCGCCAAGGCTGCCTTGGAGGCCAAGAAGAAACAGGCGAGAGGGCCAGGTCGGGCCCTGGGCCGCCTCATCTTGCCAGTTAAGGGGTGCAAAAGAAAGGACGGACCACGTCCATGTGTGCTGGAGATCTCCAAACCAAGAGAGGAGGGCCCTTCCTCCTCCAGCCCTGCCTCCTGGTTGCACAGTGCCTGAAATTTTCCATCAGAAGTGACCAGGAGGAGGGCCTGGAAGAGCTGGGTGCAGGATGGATTTGGGAATGGGGAGAGGCCAGAGACCACATGCCCTGTGATTTGCCAAAAGCAGACCCTGGGTGGTGATTAGGAGGAATCTGGTGTTCTTAGAGGGTGAGGGGAGCCGGAAGTGAGGGAAGGCTGCTCCACTTGGGAATCCTGGGGTGGGCTGGGAGGTCGAGGGTGAGGAGTTTTCAGGGCAGGGTGCATGGGGGCACCTGAGAGTGGGAGCTCGTTACTGCTCCCACCCCGATGGCACAGGGTGTTGTCCCTTTCCTTGGCACATTCCTTACTGACCTAGTGATGCTGGACCCTGTGATGCAGGATTATCTGGAGGTGGGTGAGCTAGGGCAGAGCAGGGGGGAGCAGGATCCTGAGGCTTAGGAGGAGAGCTCCCGCACTGAACCCTGAGCTCTCAGCACTTGGCAAACCTGTCCTGAGAGCCTCTCAGCCACCACTGTGCATGAACCGAGGCTGTGCATAAGACACCCGTCCCAGTCCCCAGGCTGGCAAAGCAGCAGAGCCACCTGGCTGCAAAGCTGCAGAAGGTTTTGTGGGAGCTGGAGTCAGCCTCTCCCCCAGATGGTACCCATGGAGAGGAGACAGACGTTGGCTTCCTCCAAGTCTGGCAGCACATAAGTGGCTGAGCAGTCTCTTCCTGCCTGAGGCCTGTCTCCCTGTCTGTCATCAGAGAGAGCTGGGCTAGAAGATCCCTGAGCCTCAGCATCCATGTCCCACCAACCTGGAGCCCAGAGCCTGGCCTAGGTCCAAGCCCGTTTTCTGTGTGTGCTGCCCCCTCGAGGGCGCTAGTGGTAGTGCAACATGAGAATGTGAGGATGGGGGCTAGTATGGGCTAGGGGGCTCTTTCTGAAGGACTTTGGCTGTCTGGCTCTCAGAATCAGATCCACCTCTAGAAGAGGAATAAGGTGAGTAGCTGTGGCACTCACTGCAGGGGAAGGGAGAGGAGTGGAAATCAGAGACCCTCTGGGCAGGATGCTCCCTGCCCCATCCCCTACATCTCACATTTATTGGGAGAGTTTGGTAACAGAGAAGTGGGAAACCCACTGAATTGGTGGGGAGGGAAGGGGGCTGGCATCAAGGACAACTTCTGGAGGCCGGGCTGTTTACACCCATGTCTGAGAACAGGTTGGACCAGGATTGAGTTGGAGAGGAGGAGGGTTCCCATGTGACCAAAGACCCAGGACGGAGCGCTTCCTCGCTCCTCACCCCCAACAAGGCCCCTGCAGCATGCCCCACCCAGGCCCTGTCTGCATTCTGTCCTTCCCTCTGGCCCCAGGAATACAAAGTAATGAGAGATTCTGCTGCTCCAGGTGGCTGCAGATCATTACAACAGAGCCTGAGGAGCGATTTGGGGCTTGGTTCCAGGACATGCAGCAGCTCAGCGAGAATGAGAGGTGAAGCCAGGCGGAACTTGGGTGAGGACAGGGACAGACCCTGCCCTTGTGGCCAACTCTCCCTGGTGGCCGGCTCCACAGAGTCTGCAGCCATGGCCCCGGGTCAGTCCCAGACCTTGTTGCATGGCGACATCTGGTGCACCTGGACTCCAGCTGCTGGGCAGGCCCTGGGAGGGACATCTGAGGTGTGGCTCCTGGTAGGCTCACAGGCGCCACTCTGTCCTGTAGCTACAGCCTGTCCTGCCAGCTGGAGCCCTGGCTAGCCCTGGAGTCCTAGTTGGCCAGCAGAACTCTGAAAGCCAAGAAGAACTGGCCATCATTGAGCTCAGGTGCAAGTGAGTGTCCAGGCTGGCAGTGGCTGAATCCTAAGGGCTCAGTAAAGCTTTGGGCTAAGCGTGGTCTTGGGGAGTCAGATCCCAGCTCCACTATTGACCAGTCCTGTGCCTGGGGTGAGTCACTTCAGCTTTCTGGGACTCAGTTTCTTCCTCTGTGAAATGAGTGATGCTAAATCATCGCTCACTTGGCAGGGACAAATGGGGTGCTGTTGACTGACCGAGCACTGAGCACCAGGCCTGGAGCTCAGAGTGCAGTGGGGACAGGCTGGGGAGGGTGGGCCGTCCCTGTCTTCTGTCTAGCCACCAGGCCTCCACCACAGAGCCCAGTACCAGTGGCACGTCAGTCTTCTGAGACCAGCTCAAGTGCGACCTCTCCCTCAGAAGTAGGGGCACAGCTGGGGCACTCGGGGTACACTGGGCCAGCTCCTCCTGCTCCAAGGTGAAGGAGAACATCGTGAGCCCTTCCCTGGGGTCTCCTGAAGGCCAGGAGAAGAGGGGATGACCCTGCATCACCTTGCTGCTGCTCTTCACCAGCACCTGTTTATCTTTTGAGGAGAGCAGTGTTTATTTACTGTAAGTAGTAAATGCTAGACTTGAGTAGTAGTATATTAACATCCTGTTCCTTTTACAGCCTGAGAGTTGAGGTTTTGTTCTTTCCCTTCCTATGCTAATTTAAATGAGATACAGACTCTCACATTCCTCCTTGAACCAAGAAATCTTGCAGGGTCATCAGCTTATTGTATGTGGGAGAAGGGAGAAGGGCCAGCTCTCCTCCCTGGCTATGGAAGGAGACCCCCAACAACCCCGTTCCTCAGAGGACATGTTCATTTCAGTATCGTTAACCTGGGCCAGGAGCAGAGACAGCTCCCCAGAACTCCTGGGATTTAGAGGATGAAGGTACTTTCACAGGCAGAGCAACCACTACTGACATTTGGGTGTCTTTAAAAATGACACTTGCCAGGCCCATTTCTGCCCCAGGACAGTGGCTACCTTTCTACACTGTGGAGGAAGAGGGAACATTTTCTGCTTCTCCTGTTGAGGTTTCTTTTGGCAAAATATTAGAAACTTACGGTTTTCTAGTTCAGTCTCTGGAACTGCATCAGCAGTGAGTGGGGAAAAAATCTAAGGAGAGCAAACATTCCATGTGGAGAGGACGAGGCCAGAGGAAGATAATTTGCAGATGGACTAAGGGCTGGCAGGACTTTCTGTCCTCAGTCCCCTCTAGGGGCTCCATGATCACTCTTCACCTAGATTTGAATCCTCCTGGGATCCTTGTCCATGACCTTCCATTTCCTTTTCCTGCTTGTTTCATGTCGGGGGAAAGATTTGTGATGTACCTTTTAAGGCTGAAGCTGGGCCTCTTTTCGTAAACGTTTATGCTACCTATGAACTAGGACTTCCAGCATCCCTGCACATCCTTATACAATTCTTTTAGAACAGAAATTCCCTAGAGGCCCCCAGCCTCTCTGTCAGTACATCGTGGCCACTCCTCCCTGGCTGGGACCTGATAGATCACAGGTGAGTTTTGATTTGTCAGAATATGGGTCCATATACTTGGCCGTGGAAAAACCCCCACACTCTGCTTTGGTGGCCATGGTGACTTCTGGGGCTGAATCTACTAATAGGTCTAGAAGCAAATAGGGCTGGTGAGTGTAGGTCCTGAGGAGAATCCACAGTAATTTGCAAGGCAACTACCTCAGGGAAGACCATTGCAGGCCCCTTTCTTCATGGAGCTGAGAGCACAGCAAGAGCTGTGCACATATAAATCAGATCACCACAATGTGTAACATTACAAATGACAATAACTGATATTTATTGAGATTAGGATATGTCAGGTACAAGCTTAGAAGTATTTATATGTATTAACTCATTTTGTCCTCAAAATAATTTTGGATGTTACAGGTATTACTCCCTATTTATATATAAGGGGGAAAGGAAGCACAGAAAGACAGTAATTTAGCTGATGTCACACAGCTAGACGGCGGTGGTGTAGGGATCCCAATGCTGAGTCCCAATTTTCTCAGTTTCTAAAAGCAGAATGACAAAGCTTAGTTGCAGCGATTAAGTTAAAAGAGAAGTATGGCAGACACACTTAGCAACCAACACGACTGGGTTTACAGGAGGTGCTCAGTAATGATTATTGAATTTCAGTGGCTCTGGGACTTGGGAGGTGGACAGGGACTTCCCTCACCCTGTTGGTGGGTCCTCCTGGCACTTGCACAGGCTTCGTGAGTGACTTTGAATGGTCAGACTTTGTACAGGTTCCAGGCTATCAGAGATCTTAGGCTTGGGTGTGAAGAATTTGGGTAAGTACTGGGCCTTCTGCACAACAGGAAATGTCCAGGCCTCCCAGCCTGGCCTCTGGGCCTCCTTGGAATGGTCTAAGCAGCCCCCAGCACCCTGCACTGCATACACCAGGGGGCTCCCCCTCCTCAAACATGCGTGGGCCTTTCTGGTTCCCACACCCTTGCTCTTGTCCCCCATCCGGAATGCCTGCCCATCCTGTCTCTGCCTCCTCAGATAGGCAGCTTTCCCAGGTGATGCCCCCTTGCTAGAGAGAATCTGTGCGTCTTCTTTGTGACCAAGACCCAGATCAGTTCGGATCTGTCCCTCATCCCAGTGGCCCTGGCAGGGAGAGCTCAGTGTGTGCCAGCTCTCCCTCCCAGATTGGAGGCTGGTATCATGGATTTCCTTCTCTCCCACCACCATGAGGAAGGCCTGGAAAGGAGGAAGCGACGAGGACCCTGTTGCATTAAGGCCATACTTTCTTCCAGAGAAAAACTGCATCAAACAGTTAAACTCTCCTGATAGAGAAATTTTCCCACCTTCTTCAGTGACACAAAGTTCCATCCTGTGGTCAAACTAAGTGCTTCTCACCATGGAAGTGTCCGAGGCTGCCTCCTAACAGTGGATAGTGGAAATCATTATTGGGCAAAGTTTGTATAAGAGTAATTCTCTTTAGTTCTTGATCTTTTTGCCAAGGGAGTGAATTAGACCTGACACTTCATTCTTTAGCCCAGCTGCCATCCTGGTCAGTGCTGTGTGCCACGTGCATGGACAGGGGCTGTGCATCGCATCACATTGCAGGGGACAGCTGCTGGGTAGCCTGGGCCTTCTCTCAGGAGCAGTGATCCTGGAATGGCCTTGTAGCAAAGTTGGAGGTCAGTGTCAGTGTTCTGAGCACGTCAACAGAATCTGGGTAAACTCCTGGGAACCATAACCTGCTGTTGATTTTCTGAGCGTGACCAGTCTGGGGTTGTTGATCAGGGTCTGCAGCAGGAGCCACCTCGTCCTGGACCTGGCTGAGACGCGGGGACCTAGGATAGAATCAGAGCCGATGGATTAGGACGAGGGGCAGCTTGTCTCTGTCCTTCTGTGAGGCTGTAGGGAAAGCTGCCTGGTAGATGTGAGGTGTGGGAGAAGGAGCTGGACCAGGACTCCTGGGGACATGAGGGCGGGTGGAGGGATGTGCGTTTGTCCCACAGAGATGGGTATCTGCAGTGGTGGCAGCAGTGGTGAACACAGTCCAGATCGGTGCTGACAAGACATGGCTAACTCGTGGGCTTCCCAGCAGAAGGCAGAGCAGAGTAACAGGGGTGGCAGTAGACAGTATAGAGCCTTGAGGGGGCAGGAGTTGGGGGCAGGGAGAGCTTGTGGTGGGCAAACTGAGTGCCGTCTTGGAGGGCATGCGGCCTGCAGCCTGGGATATGGGTGGGGTCTCAAACAATTGAGGAAAGGAGGACCCAGCCAGCAGAACTAGAGCTCATTTCCCAGAAAAAGGGAAGAGCCCAGTCAGAAGGACAAGGACACAAGGCCTCAGGGGCCCAGAGCCAGGCTGACGGGACTAAGCCTCCTGGTCTCCCAGGTAGAAGGTTTCCCCGGGCAGGGAGTGAGGAGGAAGGGGGGCGGGGAAGGGTAACCTGGGACATCTAAGGGATCCCAGAGAAGCCTCGGGGTGCTCGTTTCCTGGTGTCCAACCCCAGTGTAGGTTCAAACAGGAGACTTACATGCTGACTGGTTTAGGTACCAGTATTTGATGGCCTGCTGCAGCCTCCTCTCCCTGTGGCCTGTGATCAGGATGTGGCAAAAGCTGACGAGCACAGCGTTGGTATGATAATGATCCACATAGAGCATGCCGATCCACGCACTGTAGCCTGAAATCCAGAAGACGAGTCAGGCCAGGCAGGACTGCCCAGGCCGGCCCCATCGTGCTTTTTATAGAGTAACTGCAGCATCACTTTGTTCCTAAATGGTGCCTGTGTCTTTGCTGAGAATCTAAAAAATGAGGTAGGAAGAGCTGGAAGAGTTCTTAGAGATGACATCCTAATCCATCCCTTTATCGGGAACTTGAAGCTCAGCGGGGCTCGGAGCCTCTGGCTAATATGGAGAAGGCATTGGTCACATAAGGACTGGTGAGTGAGTGAGTGAATGGACACGGCCTAGAAATAGAACAAAAACCATTTTTGCTCCACAGAAATGCCTTTGATTTTGGAGTATTTCAACTGAACAGACCGTTTTCTTAACTAAAGAAATTTCCAACTAATACCAGTAATTCTGAGATGTGTTCTTTCTCAAAATTTTGAGAGCCATGCATTCGTAAATTACCTGCTAACTGGACAGAATTCCACTACCTCTCACTGCCCGCCATGGTACCTCAGAGGTCTGTCACATGTGAGGGGTTTAATAGCCTGACCTCCCTTCTGAATGAGTGTGTTTTTCCTACTCAGCTTTGTAGCCTCCATGGGAAGATAAGCTCTGAATGTAAGTGAAGAGTGTGAACTGTGGGCCTCTGACCCCTGCCCTCCAGGCAGCTTCTACAAAGGTGAAGACCAGCCCTCCCCAGATGCTTGGCCATCAGGGGCTGGCCACTCACCCATGTCTGCTCCCTCATAGCCACTCTGCATGATGGTCCTGTCGATGCGGGCGATGAGCCACGCGCCCAGGATGCAGCTGATGAGCAGCCTGGAGAGGCAGGCGCCCAGGCCCAGCAGCACGTTGTAGAAGAACAGAAAATAGTTGAAGTTGTGGAACGCTTTCCTGCAAACGGAAGCAGGCAGAGGGCAGCACGCTTTCAGTATGGGAAGGTGGCTAGGCAGGTGGGCTCAGGGCGTGCCCAGACCTGTGGTCAAATCCTACATCTCCTGTCTACTAGCTGCGTGACCCCGTGCTGTAAGCAGGAGCCGACTGTCCCCACCTCACAGCACTGGGGAGAAGACCAGCTCAGAAGCAGTGTAGTGGGCACTGAGCGCAGTGCAGGACAGACGTTAGCGGGGACTGTAAAGTTGCATGGAATCCTTGGGTTTTGGGGTTTCCTGTACAATAGGAAATCTCATGTTACTACAGCTGGTTTTGTGGCTATAGCAGAAGCTATAACAGTGGAAAAGCACTGTTGTGACAGTGACGTGCCCCTAGCTGGGACTGCTCCAGGTCCTCCAGATGAAGCTTCCCAAATGACAACCTGATCCCATGGTTTCCTGTTGCCTATGGGATAAAGCCCAAACTTAGCATACTGAATTTCTGGGCCCTCTCTGAGAGGGGCTTTCTGGCATTGTCACTTTGTGCTTCCACCCTGACGCTCACCACCTGAGGCCATTGCATAGCCACCATATTGGATTCTTACTCTGCTCCCAACATGTCCTGCCTTTCATGGCTTCCTGCCTGTATCCATGCAGTGGGGGCTGCCAGCCATGCCCTCTCCTCATCTCTACCTGTAGGAATCCTGCCAACCTACTCAGCTCAGCTCACATGTCCACCAGCAGCTGAGTTAATACTCCTGCCTCTCCTCCATTACTCGCGTTTCTCTAGTATCCTCCCACACCCTCTGGAGTCTGCTGTCCCTATGTGTCTGTGTCTGTCAGCTCCAGTGGACTGTGAGGAGCTCACAGACAGGTCACGTGGGGATATCTCTTTATCCTCAGTGCCCATGTATTTGCTCCATGAGTGATGAACTGGAAAGGATTACCATGGGCCAGGCACTGTTGTTCTAAGTTCATATCTTAACATTTCATCCTCTGAACACCTCTTGGGGTATGCACAGTTATATGTAAAATGAGGCAGCTGAGGTTCACAGATGTTTAGTAAGGTCACCCGAGGTCACACAGCTCATAAAGGGTGGAGCCAGGATTTGAACCAGGCAGTTTGGCCCCAGAGCCCATCCCTGAACCACTGCCCCTCACCCCCTCAGAGAGTGCAGAGTCTGCCCAGGAACCTGCCACGGGTGGAGAGGAAGGAACGAGAGACCTCCGAAGCCAAAGCCCTACAGTGCCCGTTCCCTTCTCTGCCCGCACCTGTTGTTGAGAGCCAAGGGCTTCTGCGTGTCGGCTGTGCCCATCTTTGGTTGCAGGAAGAACCTGGTGGCGATCCATACCTGAAGCATCATGAGACCCAGGACGGTGGATATGGTGAGGCTGAAACACAGGGCGAGACCATCCTGAGGTGGCCTTGTCAGCTCTTCCCAAGCCGTTCTCGAATGCCGAGTGATACAGAGGGGACAGGTGCCGACGGCCCGCCACACTAAAAGTAGCACGAGCTTTGTGCATTCTGCTTACAGAGCATTCTCACACTCATTGCGCAGATGAGAAAATTGAGGCTCACAAAGGGGAGATGACTTTCCAGAAGCTGCAGAGTCAGGTCTTCTGGCTCCAGAGCACAACTCCAGGGTTTAATTGATGTCTTTTTGTCCAGAGTGCGGGCAGCTGGGATGAGTGGTTTAACAGCACGGGACTCCATGAAAGGAAAGGGGCTTTGAGAAGAGCTCACGGAGGCCATGAGAGAGTGGACAGGGCAGGCTCTGCTCCAGGCTCACAGGGGGCTCTAAAGGAGGAGGGAACCAAGGAGCTCAGAGTAGGGAGGTCCCCAGACAGTACCACATCCCGTGTGTGCATCCTCTGAGCACCAGTGTCGGGTAGGGCTTAAGTGAGGCTTTGATGTCTATTGCCCAGCTCCAATCCTGTCTCTTCCCCCTCCTTGGACAAACTGCTTAGCCTCTCGGTGCCTGTTTCCTCATCTGACAAAAGGGGGCTAATGTAAGCCCTAACCTCAAAGGGTTCTTAAGAGAAAAGATGCATAGTAAATTCTCAATAATGGCACCATTCACCTTCCTCTTCCATATGGGTAGCCTGAGGCTCAGAGAAGCAACTTACCCAAATTCAGAGCTGATCTAAAACCGAAGCTCAGATTCCTTCTTTCCTTCCACTATACTGTCCTCTCTCTCACTTCGCCTCCCTGAACCTCAATCTTCCCAGCTATAAAATGGACATACGTATATCTTCTCACACACAATTGTGAGGACCCTGCTGGACAGTGAGAGTGGAACCATCCTGTAGGCTCTAAGGCTCCCATCCTGTGAGTTGCTATGATGGCTCATCCCTGCATCAGAGCTGAGAGCATGGTGTCACAGGTTGGTGAGAGCCCAGAGGGAAGGGGCATTTTGGAGAGGGGCTACGACAGCCCACCAGACCCCAGGCCCTGAGTACTGACAGAAATCCCCAACACTTACGTCCCGATGCCCAGTCCTCGGAGCATCTCCAGGCCCTGGTTGTGGATGATGGGCAACACTAGGCCATACATGATTGCCAGGCCACACAGGCTCTGCACCACGTGGATGATGAAGTAGCCTGTGGGCCAAGGGAGCCCGCAGTCACTCAAGGCCCTTCATGATCCAGTCCTGCATGTCCCTCCTTGCAGTCCCCCTCTATCCTCCTCTCACCGAAGCCCTAGCACTTTTGCTTATGCTGCTTCTCCTGCCTGGCATGACTTCCCTTTTCTTCCTGCTCATCACCTGCTCATCCTGCCAGGTGCAGTTCAAATGTCAACTCCACTAGAAAGCATTTGTGCCCTACCCTGGGCGTGAACTGTCACTTCCCCCTCTGGGTCACCACCACCCTTAGTGTATACACCCTGTGGGCTCAGGACAGATGGTGATGGTGATCTATGTGAGTGTTGCTTCTCCCTCCTTCCTGCAGGTCCCTCGAGGAAGGGCTAGGGCTGCTGCTGCCTCACCTCTCTCCTCCCTGCCCACACCAGGAGTCTACAGGTGCCCGCGGAATGTGGGTTGACCAAATGGGTCACGTGATGGCACTTACCCCACAGAATGTAGGCTATTTGCCAGCCAGGGTACCTTGCAATGGCCACCTGAGATTTAAAAGAAAGGGTGGTCTCTCAGAGGGGAGAAAACCTTGATTGCCTCTGACACATGCATCCAGCATCCCTGTCTCATTTGAGGTTCCCCCGCCAACCCACTGAGGCAGGTGTTGTGATCATCCTCGTTTTACAGATGAGGAAAGCGAAAGCTGGATGGGCACAGTGACTCATCAGCAGTCAGCAGGAGAGCATACTAGAATTGAGGACTCTGGACTCCAGTCAGGGGCTCTTCCTCCCCCAGCTCCTGCCCCCATCTGAGAGGCAGAAGAGCAGGTTTTGGCAAATTGCTTAGTCTCAGCAGAGAGAGGCCTCTGCAGGCTTACCACACTCTCCGACGAGGAAGGATGGTGGAACTTCAAAGGCAGAGAGTGTTTATCTCCTGCCCACAACCTCCTCATGCGCTTTCTAGAGAAAGAGTGGGAAATCAGTAATGTCCATAACTACGGCTCTTTATGCACCTAGAGCTCAATAGATATAAACCAGAAGGCTTGCTGTGGAGGGAGATGGCGGGCAGCTTAGCCTCCCTGTATTGACCATAGCTCATGGGACGGTTCTGATTAGCCTGAAAACCTTTAATATATTTTCTAAAAATACCATACACTTTCCTGGTCTTAATGGAGACTGAATGTGATAGTTGACACTGTGTGAGTCTTTGATCTTCTTCATTTCACTCTATTATTTTTTCTACCATGAATATGTGTTACTTAAGTAATAATAATTAAAACAGAAAGCCATTTTTAGCGATAGACCCACCTTATAACAACATAAAGGGAAAGGAAAAGGGCCACAACCCCTCACAACCCCACACCCCAAGAAATCCCGTGCGCTGGTCTGGCCCTTTGCATAAAGATTAGGTCGGCATAGTTATGATCACAGTCCACATCCACAGCTGTGTCCTGCTTTTTCTTAACCTCTGGTCTCCAGCGTTTCCCAAGTTGTTTTGCAATTTCGTGACCACTGAATTGGGAAGACTTAGTATGAAATAAAGGATGTAAATATCTCATTAATAGTTTGTATTTTATTACATGTTGAAATGATGGTGTCTGGCTTATGTTGGGTAAATTATTAAATAATTTTCACCTCCCCTTTTACCTTTTTAATAGTGTCTACTAGAAAACTAAAATTGCATCTGTGGCTTTCGTTGTGTTTCTGTTTGGCAGCACTGGAGCAGAGTGCGCTACCAGGAACACGAACACACACAGATATATTTGACTAGAAAATTCCTGGAAGGAAACTCAGAAAATGAATGCCAATGTTTAGCTCCGGGGCAAAAAACTGGGGTCTGAATAGCAGGAAGACTTAGTTCACGCTACATATTTTTTTGTAACATTAAAAACAAGAGCCCGGGGGCCGGCCCGGTGGTGCAGCAAAGATCGCACGTTCCACTTCTCGGCAGCCCGGGGTTCACGGGTTCAGATCCCAGGTGCGGACATGACACAGCTTGGCAAAAGCCATGCTGTGGTAGGTGTCCCACGTATAAAGTAGAGGAAGATGAGCATGGATATTAGCTCAGGGCCAGTCTTCCTCAGCAAAAAGAGGAGGATTCACAGTAGTTAGCTCAGGGCTAATTTTCCTCAAAAAAAAAAAAATAATAAAAAGGAGCCCGTATGTGGGTTGGAATAATGCTAAGGAAAATAAAAATACTGGCACAGTGGCTCATCGCCCACATTGACAGAACCATCATGCAGAGTGGCTCTGAGGGAGCAGACATGGGTAAGTGGCCAGCCCCTGATGGCCAAGCATCTGGGGAGGGCTGGTCTTTAGCTTTGTAGAAGCTGCCTGGAGGGCAGGTGTCAGTGCTTCCCACTTTGTAGGGTGCTTTCCCATCCAATATTTCCTTTGCCCCATGGTCCTGGAAAGGAGACAGGGCAAGGATCATCACTCCTGGGTGACAGGTGTGGGGGCAAGGGGCCAGCCTGGACAGGAAAGAGGCCTCCCCAGCACAGGTGCCCTCTCTTCCCTGTGCTGCCTCCACCCACGTCCATGCAGCAAGCTCTGCACAGTAGTTGTCCCTGGTTGTGGTCAAATGCCTCAGTGAAAATCCCCCAGCCACTTGCAGCCTAATGAAGGAGCAGACATCCCTACGTCAGATGGGGCGGAGAGAGCAGCAAGTGCCATCCACCCACTGGGTGCAGGGAGAAGAAAGCAGAGAGAGGGAGCAAGCCAGGGTGGGGATGGAGAGGTGGGGCCTCTTCGTGCCAGGAGAGTCTTCTCTTGGATGCCATCTGCAAGAGACCCCACCCTTTGGGCAGCCAGGTTGGGAGCATGTGAAGGCAGGATGCTCTGGAGTGGTGGAAAGTGGCCCTGGGCTTCCTGTGAGTGAGTGTGAGTTACAGACTGAGCCAGAAAGATAAAGGGGCAGAGACATAGGCAGAGGCAGAGAGACAGAGACAAGGGAGCAGTAGATACCTAAAATTCATCTGCTATCTGCATGCAAATGCTGGCTACAGATTGAAGGCCATCGCCTCCTCCTGCGCTGCTGTTCTTGAACCTGCTACACGTGGGCCCCTGGACTCAGTGTCCTGTGAGGTCCCCTTGAGCCAGATTCACCTGCCGGGAGCCCAGTGTGATTGGTTCTGAAGAGCAGGGTAGGTCTGACATCCAATAGAGATGCCAGAGTGGACAAGAAATGACGGTCTCTGGGGTCAGAAGACATGATTGGCTGCTAATTGCTTGGGTAAGTTATTTTGTTGAATCTCAGCTGTAAAAAGGGAGTTGAAAGTACCCCTCAGGGTTATGGCGACAATCTAAATAAGATTCTAGCACAACGTCTAGATAATAGTAGAAGCTCAAATCAATAGTTTTCTTTTTCTTACTACCAATAGATGTGGTTGTCCCTGGATCTTGCATATGCTCCTGGTTCCAGTGCAGCCACTGCTGCACTGCTCGGGAATTCTTAGGAAAGTCTGTCAGATACTTTCCTGGCAGAAGACACAAATGACTCCCAGAGCCCTCTTACCTGTAACAGGACAAAATGTGGAACAGCTGGCTCACACACGTGAAGGAGGCAGGCAAAATGGTCACCACCCAGACTCCTGAAATAGAAAAAGTGGTATGAGAGGCCTCAGGAGATGAACCAGAAACAGTATTCTCAAAATGCAGAAACTGACATCAGAAAGGTCTGGGCAAGGTTCGGCGACCCGGAGGGGAAGCGCCGGAGCTCCGCCAGGCAGCAGACAAAACTCTCTGTCTGCCATTAGCAGAGGGGCCACGCCCAGCATTCAGGGCTCCCGGCAGAGGCCCGGAGAGAATCCCAGAGGGCGGGGCGACCCCCAGCTGCCGTTGCCCGCCCCGTGAGGCTAGGAATTGCCAGAGATCTCGGAGAGGACCGGGGCGGGGGAACTTTCAAAGGCCGGTTCGGCGACCCGGAGGGGAAGCGCCGGAGCTCCGCCCGGGCATCAGACAAAACTCTCTGTCTGCCATTAGCAGAGGGGCCACGCCCAGCATTCAGGGCTCCCGGCAGAGGCCCGGAGAGAAGCCCAGAGGGCGGGGCGACCCCCAGCTGCTGTTGCCCACCCCGTGAGGCTAGGGATTGCCGGAGATCTCGGAGAGGACTGGGGCTGGAGAGAGTTCCAGAGACCCAGCTTAGTAGCCTAGGGGGAAACCCTACAGGCTCACAGCAGCCTTAGGGAAAGCCTCTGCACAGCACCAGTAGAAGGCACCCAGCCGCCAGCCACAAGGCTGGAAGACCCCAGGGAAAAGCAGCATAGCTAGGTGTACTAACCACAGACTGTAGAAGATGCCAATAGCTCTCCTGCGACCCATAGAGGACAAGTGAGATTTGGTGGGTGCCAACAGCAACGGAGCGACAAATATAAGTGATCCCACCCCTGGCCGCTGGAAAAGCCCATAACACCGTTGCAGACCCCAAGGAGAGAGCGCATCTAGGTGGGCAACAACAGTAGGCACCTGCAGCCTGAAGCCCCCCTGTGACGGCCCCCACGGCAGAGGAGGGAATCCAAAGGGCCACTGTGGCTACGAAGAGGGGCCCAGGCCCAGTTAGCAACTACGGACAGGGTTCCTGGTTGGTGAAGTATAAACAGCTGCTCCCCCCACCGCAGCAGCTGAAACAAGTGAAAGGAGCAACTAAACTCTATCTCCATGCGGAGGCACAAATCAACATCATCAAGCAATATGAAAAAATACATTAAATCTCCAGAACAGAAAGAAAGTAACAAATACACAGAAAACAATCCCAAAGAAAATGAGATATATAACCTAAATGATGATGACTTCAAAACAGCCATCATTAGGATTCTCAATGAGTTAAGAGAGAATTCTGACCGACACTCAACGAGTTCAGGGAGCTATGTCACAAAAGAGTTTGATACGATAAAGAAGACCAAACAGAAATATTGGAAATGAAGAACACAATAGAGGAGATTAAGAAAAATCTAGATGCTCTGAACAGTAGGGCCGATAATATGGAGGAAAGAATTAGCAATTTGGAAGATGGCAATATAGAATTGTTGCAGGCAGAGGAGGAGAGAGAAGCAAGACTTAAAAGAAATGAAGAAACTCTCCGAGAATTATCAGACACAATTAGGAGATGCAACGTAAGGATTATAGGTATACCAGAGGGAGAAGAGAAGGAGAAAGGGGCAGAAACGTATTCAAAGAAATAATGGCTGAGACTTCCCAAATCTGATGAGGGAGATGGATCTTCAGGTGACAGGAAGCCAATAGATCTCCAAACTTTATCAATGCAAGAAGACCAACTTCCACGGCATATAGTAGTGAAGCTAGCAAAAGTCAACGACAAGGAGAAAATATTAAGGACAGCCAGGCAAAAGAAACTAACCTACAAAGGAACCCCCATCAGGCTATCAGCAGATTTCTCAGCAGAAACTTTACAGGCTAGAAGAGAGTGGAATGATATATTCAAAAATCTGAAGGACAAAAATCTACAGCCGAGAATTCTCTACCCAGCGAAAATATCCTTCAAATACGATGGAGAAATAAAAACTTTCCCAGATAAACAAAAATTAAGGGAGTTCATTGCCACAAAACCTCCTCTTCAGGAAATCCTCAGGAAAACCCTCATTCCTGAAAAATCCAAAAAAGGAAAGGGGCTACAAAACCAAGAGCAGAGGAGATAAGTAGAAGGACAACAACAGAGAGTAGCAGCTCTACATCAGAACAGATTAAACCATGGGACGAGAAACAAAGGAAACTGAAGAAAACCGGAAAACAAGACACAAAATGGTAGTGGTAGGCCCCCACGTCTCAATAATCACTCTAAATGTAAATGGATTGAACTCCCCAATCAAAAGACACAGAGTGGCAGGATGGATCAAAGAACAAGATCCAACAATATGCTGCCTCCAGGAAACACCCCTCAGCCCCAAAGACAAACACAGACTCAGAGTGAAGGGATGGAGAACAATACTCCAAGCTAATAATGAACAAAAGAAAGCAGGTGTCGCTATACTAATATCAGACGAGGTAGATTTCAAAACAAAACAGATAAAGAAAGATAAAGAGGGACAGTATATAATGATAAAGAGGGACTCTCCACCAAGAAGACATAACACTTATAAATATATACGCACCCAACACAGGAGCACCAAAATTTGTAAAGCAACTCTTAATAGAACTAAAAGAAGACATCAACAACAATACAATAATAGTAGGGGACCTCAACACACCATTAACACCAATGGACAGAACATCCAGACAGAAAATCAACAAGGAAATAATAGAATTAAATGAAAAATTAGACCAGATGGACTTAATAGATATATATAGAACACTTCATCCAAAAACAGCAGGTTACACATTCTTCTCAAGTGCACATGGAACATTCTCAAGGATTGACCATATTTGGGAACCAAAGCAAACATCAATAAATACAAGAGAGTTGAAATAATATCAAGCATCTTTTCTGATCATAACGCTATTAAACTAGAAATCAACTACAAGAAAAAAGCAGAGAAAGGTGCAAAAATGTGGAGACTAAACAACACGCTTCTCAACAAACAATGGATCATTGAAGAAATTAAAGAAGAAATCAAATATTATCTGGAGACAAATGAAAATGAGAACACGACATACCAAATCATTTGGGATGCAGCAAAAGCAGTCCTAAGAGGGAAATTCATCGCAATACAGGCTCACCTCACTAAACAAGAAAAAGCTCACTAAGCAACCTCAAACGACACCTAACAGAACTAGAAAAAGAAGAACAAACAAAGCCCAGAGTCAGTAGAAGGAGGGAAATAATAAAAATAAGAGCAGAAATAAACGATATTGAAACAAAAAAGACAATAGAAAGGATCAATGAAACAAAGAGTTGGTTCTTCGAAAGAATTAACAAAATTGACAAACCCCTAGCCAGACTCACCAAGAAAAGAAGAGAGAAATCGCAAATTAATAAAATCAGGAATGACAGAGGAGAAATCACAACAGATACCAATGAAATACAAGAGATCATAAGAGAATACTATGAAAAACTATATGCCAACAAATTGAACAACCTGGAAGAAATGGACAAATTCCTAGACTCCTACAATCTCCCCAAACTGAATCAGGAAGAAATGGAGAATCTGAATAGACCAATCACAAGTAAGGAAATAGAAACGTAATCAAAAACCTCCCCAAAAACAAGAGTCCAGGACCACACGGCTTCGTCTGGAGAATTCTACCAAACATTCAAAGAAGACTTAATACCTATTCTCCTCAAACTGTTCCAGAAAATTGAGAAAGATGGAGAACTCCCTAACACATTCTATGAAGCCAACATCACTCTGATCCCCAAACCTGACAAGGACAACACAAAGAAGGAGAACTACAGGCCGATATCACTGATGAACATAGATGCAAAAATCCTCAACAAAATTTTGGCAAACCGATTACAGCAATACATCAAAAAGATTATACACCATGATCAAGTGGGATTTATACCAGGGACACAGGGATGGTTCAACATCCGCAAGTCAATCAACGTGATACACTACATCAACAAAATGAAAAACAAAAACCACATGATCATCTCAATAGGTGCAGAGAAAGCATTCGACAAGATCCAACACCCATTTATGATAAAAACCCTCGATAAAATGGGTATAGAAGGAAAGTACCTCAACATAATAAAGGCCATATACGACAAACCCACAGCCAACATCATACTCAATGGACAAAAACTGAAAGCCATCCCTCTGAGGACAGGAGCAAGACAAGGGTGCACACTTTCACCACTCCTATTCAACATAGTACTGGAGGTGTTGGCCAGAGCAATTCGGCAGGAAAAAGAAATAAAAGGAATCCAAATAGGTAACGAAGAAGTAAAACTCTCGCTGTTTGCAGACGACATGATCTTATATATAGAAAACCCCAAAGAATCCATAGAAAAACTATTAGAAATAATCAACAACTACAGCAAAGTAGCAGGGTATAAAATTAGCGTGCATAAATCAGTAGCATTTCTATACACTAACAATGAACTAACAGAAAAAGAACTCAAGAACTCAATCCCTTTCACAATCGCAACGAAAAGAATAAAATACCTTGGGATAAACTTAACCAAGGAAGTGAAGGATCTATACAATGAAAACTACAAGACTTTCTTGAAAGAAATTGACGCTGACATAAAGAGATGGAAAGAAATTCCATGCACATGGATTGGAAGAATGAATCAGCAGAGAGAGGCCTCTGCAGGCTTACCACACTCTCCGACGAGGAAGGTGGTGGAACTTCAAAGGCAGAGAGTGTTTATCTCCTGCCCACAACCTCCTCATGCGCTTTCTAGAGAAAGAGTGGGAAATCAGTAATGTCCATAACTACGGCTCTTTATGCACCTAGAGCTCAATAGATATAAACCAGAAGGCTTGCTGTGGAGGGAGATGGCGGGCAGCTTAGCCTCCCTGTATTGACCATAGCTCATGGGACGGTTCTGATTAGCCTGAAAACCTTTAATATATTTTCTAAAAATACCATACACTTTCCTGGTCTTAATGGAGACTGAATGTGATAGTTGACACTGTGTGAGTCTTTGATCTTCTTCATTTCACTCTATTATTTTTTCTACCATGAATATGTGTTACTTAAGTAATAATAATTAAAACAGAAAGCCATTTTTAGCGATAGACCCACCTTATAACAACATA